TTTAATTAATATATTAAATACTTAAAAGAGGGTGAATGGGAAATGGAGGGAAATGAAATTTTTGAGTGAAATTTTAAGTTCCCCCTCCCTTGGCAAATGGGCATTGTCCCATATTGGAAGAGGAAGAGGTTTTTTATGGGTATATAAGCAATTGCTCTTCTTCTAGCTCTTAAAGAGTTGAGAAGAAGGCAAGCCTCGCGCCGTCGTCGTCGTCGCTCGCTCGGCTCGGCTTCGGCTACGGCTACGGCTACGACTTCGGCTTCGGCTTCGGCTTCGGCTTCGGCTTCGGCTTCGGATTCGGATTCGAATTCGGATTCGGATTCGGATTCGGATTTGGTCAAATGATCGATTGATTGATTAACTTTTTGGACCAAATTTATTTGTTAATAGTAAAATATTAACAGAAATATTATTAAATATTTGGTTTAATAACAAAATATTAATATTAAATATTAATATTAAATCCAATCCGTTTTTCTGTTTTGGTAACAGAAAAGTAACTACCGTCTTCAATTTTTCCTCTTTATTTTCCCTCTTTATTATTGAGTAAATGGCAATTTATGTAATGACATTTATGTTGTGGGCGTTTTGCATAAACAGCCATTCTGAAGAGACCCAACTTTGGCTATAAATACAACACTATTCTGCTCAGAATTTTAACTACAATTTTCTGAGTTTCCTCTCCTTCTTCTGCATACTTTTAGCATCAAAACAAAGCAAAAAGTAAGTGTGATTTGCTACCGAACTTTGTGTTCGCTGAAACACTGGGGTTTGAAGTACCACTACACCAGTGTGTAATTCGTTTTATCCTGGGAGGAAATAATCCATAACCTTGGGTACTAGGAGGGGATTAAATTCCTTAAGGAAACACTGTGAATTCAGTGGGCTCGAATTGGTTTATGTCATTTCTGTTTATATTCATTACTGTTTAAATTCATTTATATTTCCAGAATTTATTTTACAAATACAGTGTAATAACAAAGGAAAAACATGTTCATGAAATATAACATCTGTGGAGACAAGACAGACTTTATTTTGTAAATCATACAGCTTATATCCCTTCTTTCCCAAAGGGATAACCAATGAACACACAAGGAATGGCCCTAGGCTCTAGTTTGACCCTATGAGGTTTTGGAACAATAGAGTAACATAAACATCCAAAAGCTCTAAGATTTGAGTATGTGGGATATTTGTTATATAAGATCTCATAGGGGCTTTTGTCCTTTAACACACTAGAAGGGAATCTATTTATCAAGTAGGTGGTTGTGAGTATGCAGTCTCCCCAAAATCTAAGAGGAAGACCAGATTGGAAAAGAAGAGCTCTAGCAGTTTCCAAAAGATGTCTGTGTTTCCTTTCAACAACTCCATTTTGTTGTGGAGTGTGAGGAAATATTGTATGATGCAATATCCCTTTCTCAGAAATGGACGAGGCACTAAGTAGGAGAAGATGGCAGACATACTTCCATAAACTGTTGAATGAGGAGGGGGATAAATACATTATGTTGGGTGAGTTGGAGCACCCTGAGAGTCGGCGGGATTTTGGGTACTGTAGGCGGATTACGGTAGAGGAGGTGGAAGGGGCGATGCGTAAGATGTGCAAGGGCAGAGCGATGGGGCCAGACGAAATCCCGATGGAATTTTGGAAGAGCGCGGGGCGGATAGGTTTGGAGTGGCTCACTGGGCTGTTTAATGGTATTTTTAAGAAAAAGAAGATGCCTGAAGAATGGAGGTGGAGTACGATGGTTCCGCTTTACAAGAACAAGGGTGATATCCAAAATTACAATAATTATAGAGGTATCAAGCTGTTGAGTCACACTATAAAGGTTTGGGAGAGGGTGGTGGAGGCCAGGGTGAGGAGGTGCGTGTCTATTTCCGAGAATCAGTTTGGATTCATGCCCGAGCGTTCGACTACGGAAGCGATTCATCTGGTAAGGAGATTAGTGGAGCAGTACAGGGAGAGGAAGAAGGATTTGCATGTGGTGTTTATTGACCTTGAGAAAGCATACGATAAAGTTCTGAGGGAGGTCCTATGGAGGTATTTGGAGGTTAGCGTTGTTCCGGTAGCGTACATTAGTGTGATTAAGGATATGTATGATGATGCTAAGACTCGGGGGTGGTGACTCGAAGCATTTCCCTATGGTTATGGGGTTGCACCAGGGATCGACTCTTAGCCCATTTTTATTTGCCTTGGCGATGGATGTATTGTTGCTTCACATCCAAGGGGAGGTGCCTTGGTGCATGCTATTTGCCGATGATATAGTGTTGATTGACGAGACGCGTAGCGGAGTTAATGCGAGGTTGGAGGTTTGGAGACAGACCTTGGAGTCTAAAGGTTCAGTGTGAGTAGAACTAAGACAGAATACTTGGAGTGCAAGTTCAGTGGCGGGGTTGTTTCATACAAACATAGAGGTTAAGCTTGATGCTCAAGTTATCCCCAAGAGAGCGAGTTTTAAGTATCTCGGGTCTATTACCCAGGGTAACGGGGAGATTGACGAAGATGCCGCGCATCGTATTGGAGCGGGATGGATGAAGTGGAGGCTTGCTTCCGGTGGTTTGTGTGATAGGCATGTGCCGCTAAGACTTAAGGGTAAGTTTTATCGAGTGGTGGTTTGACCGGCTATGCTGTATGGGGCTGAGTGTTGGCCAGTCAAGAACTCCCACGTGCAGAAGATGAGAGTAGCAGAGATGAGGATGTTGAGATGGATGTGTGGGTGTACCAAGAGAGATAGGATTAGGAATGAAACTATCCGGGACATAGTGGGAGTAGCCTCCGTGGAGGACAAGATGCGGGAGTCGAGGCTGAGATGGTTCGGACATGTTAAGAGAAGAAGCATTGATTCTCCTGCTAGGAGGTGTGAGAGGTTGGCCATGGAGAGTTTGAGAAGAGGTCGAGGTAGGCCTAAGAAGTATTGGGGAGAGGTGATTAGACAGGACATGGCGCTGCTTCAGCTCACTGAGGACATGACCCTTGATAGGAGAGTGTGGAGGTCGAGGATTAAGGTAGAAGGTTAGTAGGTAGTTTATAGTTGTTCACCGATAGTCTTAGTAGTATGCATGTCCCTTCATATTCTTAGATTTTTATTATGTTTTGTGGTTTTGATCTCCTCAGGTATTGTATTCCCTGTTGCTATTATTTGGTACCACTTATCCTTTATCTCTCCCTTTTTCTTTTATCTTCCATCTTTCTTCCTCCCTTGCTTTCCTCTTCTTCTTCTTGCCCTTCCTAAGCCGAGGGTCTATTGGAAACAGCCTCTCTACCTGCATTAGGTAGGGGTAAGGTCTGCGTACAGACTACCCTCCCTAGACCCCACTTGTTGGAATCAAACTGGGTTTGTTGTTGTTGTTGTTGTTTAATGCTGGACCCCAACTCTAAGGCATTGTCACTTCTTACATGCTGGATTTTAAATTGAAATTTAGTTTCAGTCATGGCAACAAAAGCTTTTAAGAGGTCAAAAGCATTGCTTTTGGCTCCCATTAGGTGGGTCCAAGTGGCTCTTGAATAGTCATCAATAATGGTCATAAAATATTTGGAGCTAGAATAGGTGAGAGAGTGATATGGATCCCAGGTGTCAATGTGGATCAGTTGGAAAGGTTTTGTGGATTGTATGCTACTATCAGGAAATGGCAATCTTGTTTGTCTGGCTAGTGGACATATTGGACAAGAAAAGGACTGTTTGGAAGATAACTGTGATCCAAGCATAGAGATATGTTCCATTCTAGAAAAGGGAATATGTCCAAGTCTATAATGTCAAACCACATCCATTTTATTGATATTATTCAGAATTGCATCAGTATTTACATGTGTTTCATCAGCATCAACAATATTTACACTCTTTGCATTTTCTTGTATCTCAGGAAAAACACAAACAAGAGAAATAACAGGGGAAATAACACTAGAAGAATAGTTGGATGCAGTACTGGGAGAAGAAATAGGAGGAAGTAGGAGCTTGTAGAGATTGTGGTCCAGTTTACCAAGAACCAGAGGCATCTTCAAAGAAGGGGCCTGTATAGCACAAAGAGTTCTGGTAAACAGAACAATCCCATTTTACTGTTCTAACAGCTTATGGACAGAAATAAGAATGTATTGAAAGGAAGGAACATACAGAACATGATGAATTGTGAAATTTGAAAACAAGTTTAAGGATCCTACTAAATGAACTTTTACTTTGTAACAATTTGGTAGAGAAACTAGACAAGGTATAGGTAGAGTCCTTAGATTAAAAAGTAAATTTTTATGAGAGGTCATATGGTCAGAAGCTCCAGAGTCTATTATTCAAACAAAACTATCTACTTGTGAAAGCATGCATGGCTTAAGAAAAATACTTTCTGATAACAGCTTACCAGCAAAGTTGGCAGAAGCCATTAGAGTGGGAGCAGAGGAGGAATCAGCAGATACATGGGACTGTTGCAGTAATATCATCAGTTGGGAGAATTGATCTTGTGTTAAACTAGAAACCATTGAAGCATTACTAGAGTCAGATGACTTGACAGAATCAGGAACCGCATTAGAATCCACATTAACAGGAGAGAAGGAGAATTTACTTCAACATGAGCTGCAGTTTTCTTACTATCAGACCCTTTTGTGAATTTAAAATTTGAAGGATACCCATGTAGCATGTAGCATGTAGCATGTAGCACTTGTCAATAGTGTGACCAGGTTTCTTACAATATTTGCATGTAATAGGTCTTTGAGTATCAAAATTGACTTTGGAAGGAAAACCTTGCTTAGAGATTCCAACATTGAAAGATATAGATGTTGGGAGAAACTGAGGAGAAGTAGAGACTTGCCTCTGCTTCTCATCTGACATCAATATACTGTAAACAATACTCATAGATGGAAAAGGTTTGATCATGAAAATATTGCTTCTAGTTTGCACAGATACATCATTGAGACCCATCAAAAATTAGTACACCTTTTGAACATCATTACCTTTCTGATAAACACATTTTAAACCACAGTTACTACAAGACCTGACTCTACTAATTGACAAGGCATCAATTTATTCCCACAATTGCTTGATTTTGCTGAAATATGAAGCAATATCAAGTGATCCTTGTGAGATGTGAGCAAGTTCTTTCTTAAGCTCAAATACCCTTGCAGCATCTGCTTGACCATATCTTTCCTCCAACTCACTCCAAATATCATTGGCAAGTTCAGAGTACTCAACACTACGAGCAATGTCTTTTGACAGGGAGATGGTTAACCAAGAGACAACTAAATCATTACACTTCTGCCTCTGTCTCGCCAAGGGAGAAATGTCAGGAGGCTTAACTGAAGATCCATTAATGAAATCCAGTTTATTTCTAACAGATAAAGCCACAAGGGTGGTTCGTCTCCAACTCCCATACCCAGTACCATCAAAAGGTACAAAAACTAAAGAGGACCCTAAAACATCATATGTATGCACATAAAAAGGATGACATGGATGCATATAATCGTCCTCATGAAAGACAGAACGAGAAACATGAGAAGTAGCAGTTGGTAACGCAGATGTGGAATCATCATTTTGTACATAATTAATCAGGAAAAAATGCACACACAAACAAAACAATGAGGAGAGATAACTAGGGTTACCAAATATCTTTCGCGACCGGAAGGAACAACGGCCTTGTAAAACAAAAGTCACAGGGACGAGCAAACCCTAGTTGAATGAGCAAAAAATGCAGAAACCAGCAAACCCTAGGTCGAAAGAAACGCTTCAAACAATACCAGAAGAAGCTCGATCAATCACCAGGAAAGCTGAAGTGCTAGTAGAAAAGCACTCATTTCCGTCATTAACACCGGAAAAACCTCAAAGTACCGATGAAAAAACTCGCTGGAAAAACTCAGAAAAGGGAAGAAACAGCGGAACCTCAAAACTCCAATGAAAATGAGTGAGGGTAACATTGGACGAGAGATAATTTCTTGATTTATCTAGATCTGGGCTGTGATACCATGATAAAACTCCATTACTAAGCAGATCAATGAAGGTTAGATGGAGAGAGAGAAAGACGGAAGTTTCTAGACCTGTATTTCTTCAAGTCAGGAAAAATGGAAGTGTTCTTTAACAAAAGAATATCTTCTATATATATATATATATAGGTCAGCCTAACTCACTATAAACATAAAAATAAATACAATGTGGGCTCGAGGCCCAATAGTAAAAGAAAGACAAAATGACCCAAAACCAGCCAGAATTGTCACTGGTGCTTATCGTATTTGGAAAGGCATATTCACTTCCACCATACGTGTCATGTTTGGATTTGTTTATTTTTGAGAGTCAAGGATTCAAGTTCATAAAATATTTAACAGACCATAATAAATTCCTAACTAACAAAAGCACTAAACATAATAATTGCAATGATTATATGGTGTATCTTCTGTATCTTCATCTTTAGTACGAGTTCGTAATTGTATATATTGGATGGACGGAAAAAGGAGTTGGCCTCAACGACAAAACTAGCCAGCTTTTAAGGACCAGGGGAATCTCATCCATTTGAGTATTAAAATAAAAGATACTTTAGTTAAGAAGACTTTGGCAGTTAATACACTTAGAAATTTCTAAATATGAAATAGGAGTGACCTACACCTGTTGATTATGGTTGTTTGCTTTCCCTTAATTAGGGTTTATTTGGTTTGAGGTATAAGAAAATGTAAATTCTCTATAAAATTTTGTATTTAGGTATAGGATGTTTGATTTTCGGTATATAACTAATATAAAATACTACTATATGACAGTGTGACTAGTACATCATTTGATTTTCGACGCAAATTCCGCTTTAGTTATGCCAAATTTAATTCCAAAAACCAAACATTTTATTACCAATTAATTTTGATATAACTTATACAAGAATAATGTATTATTTTGTACGAAATAAAACATACATAGGATAAAATTGTATTGACATTACATGGATAAGAGTATTTAAAGACAAAATGCCTTAAATTAGACAATCCCTACACAACAAGTTATATATTCTTATTCATCGCATATATAAGCGCTGCATTATAATCCTCCATGCTTAACTAATTAACCATAAAACAATCGACCCCTACGAGTTTTAAGGAAAAAGGACAAAGAGAAGATGACTTTTGTCAATTGTTTTTAAATATAAATGATTAGCTAGGAAGCTGCCATGGCAAAGTTGATAGTGATGGTGGCTGGCCACTTTTTATTAATTATATGTAACAAATCCTCCATGCGCATACCTTTACAATTTTTATTCCCCATTCAATCATGCATATACCCTCTTAAGCAAGAATATCTCTTTTGTTATATATCTGTCGGTATCTTTTATTTGCTTTGAATATAAATTTCTTTTCGTGAGACAAACTATTCTAATAATTAGTACCTATATATGTTGGCTTCTTCTTCTTCTGTCTGAAATAGATTTAAAGAGTTAAAAATGGGAAGGCAGCCTTGTTGTGATAGAGTTGGATTGAAGAGAGGTCCATGGACTATAGAAGAAGACCATAAGCTCGTCCATTTTATTCTCAACAATGGCATCCAATGTTGGCGTACCATTCCCAAGCTTGCAGGTTTTCTATATATTTCTACTCTCTCTATATATGTCCCTATTTTGTTATATCCTTTGTTCCGGTTTTCTGTTTGCATTCCTTGGTGTTAGTTCTGTTAGTATTTTCGATTCGGTGTCAGATTTGGTTTGCGTGTTATTGCCCTTCCATTTATCTTTCTTGAGCCGAGGGTCTACTGGAAACATCCTCTCTGCCTTTTTAAAGGTAGGGGCAAGGACTGCGTACACTCTACCCTCCCCAGACTCCACTTGTAGAACTACACTAGATTTATTGTTGTTGTTGTATATATGTCCCTATATTTGATCATCATAGTCAAACAAATTTTCATGTTTAAGCGATTAGAGATAGTACACTTGTAGTTGAGTATTAATAGTGTCTTCCACATGCTCCTTAGGTGTCGGTCAAACTCTTTTCTTGAGCCAAGCACGTAATAATTCTATTAGACAAGCGATACTTGAACCGAAGGCCTCTATCAACATATTGAACTGTGTGACTATCTTATCCAAAAGTTTAAGCGGTTAGACAATATATACTTTTAATTACTTAATTATGTACTGCTCAATGGTGTCACTGTAGTAGCCCCTAAAAGATGATCATTTTTTACATGTCATGAATGTGTTGTAGGTTTGCAAAGATGCGGAAAAAGTTGCAGACTGAGATGGATTAATTATTTGAGACCTGATCTCAAAAGAGGGGCGTTATCTGAAGCTGAAGAAGATCAGATTATACAGCTTCATGCTCGTCTTGGTAACAGGTCTTTATTCATTTGTCAATCATACCTTTGTTCTTTAATTTTAACCATTCGATATTCAAAATTCACTAGCGTGGCTATCCTTATTTTAAAAGTTCTTCATATTTAACCCTATAAATAATTTTTTTGCAGGTGGTCTAAGATAGCATCACATTTTCCGGGGAGAACTGATAATGAAATCAAGAACCATTGGAACACTCGAATTAAGAAGAAATTAAAGCAAGCGGGAATAGACCCTTTAACTCACAAGCCAATTGACCACGAAAAATACCAACAAGAATCAGATGATACAATCATGGAACTTAACTTACCAATACATCATCATAAAACAGAGACTTTGTCAAGAACAGAGACATATGATAAAAGCAATGAAGCAGAGAATTGTGCTGCAAATGCTACTGATTTTTCACTGTCAAACAATGCATACCACAATGTGTTGAGTGAAAATTTTGATGTGGATTTATGGAGCAAAAGTTGTAAAACTATGTCTAATTGTTACAGCCCTACACTTTCTTTGGAAGCTGAAGAATCCATCAAATTTTCAACAGTATCAGCTGTTACTGAATCCTCAAGTAACATTGAACCTGCAGAAGAACAAGATTCTCTACAACAATGGATGGATTCAATTTTCTCATGTGCTGTCAATCAACTCGAAGAAGACCTCTTTCTCTTGCGAAAATACAATTAATAATTGTGCAGATTTTCTTTCTCCCTCCTTGTTCTTCATTTTTCTTACTAATAGAATTGTTCTCCAAGAATGAAAAAGGAAATTTTTTTTTACAGGGAGGCAAGTTTCCTCTTGTGTTAATACAATTTTTTTATGCTTCTTAGTCATTAAAAATTTGAACATGTTATTTTATCTAGTATCTTTTTTCTTTTAAACAGGGAATATATTATAAAAACTACGGAATATTGTTTGTTACATCACCAGATATACTACATGTCCTAAGGACATTAATACTGCCCAAGTTGGCAAGCTTGCAGCATATTTCAATACTTAATGTTTTAACAAAATAAACATAGCCAGCCCTATCTATTTCCAGCTTATTTATTACATAAGAAGGCGACCTATTTAGTAGGAGATGTTCCTTCGGAAGATTGAGAGCTTCCTTAGCCAGCTTATGGGCTACTTTGTTTCCTTCTCTGAAGTTATGTTGGATTGATGGTTGCTTCAGTTGGAGCATTAACCACCTGCAAAAGCAAACAATCATGTCATGAGATTCACATCCATATTGTAAAGCTTTGATTACCTCTGTTGCATCTGTTTCTATGACCCGTGGAGTAAATCCCTTGGTCATTACTATGTTGAGGCCTTCTTTGAGCGATTCTAGTTCTGTTTGTAGGGATGATATGGCTGGGCAGTATGTTGAAAACCTGCTATCCACTGGCCATTACTGTTCCTAAATACTCCACCTAATCCCCATAAGTATTCTTTTTCTCTGAAGGCACCATCGATATTGAGCTTATAAAAACATTTGTGGGGTTTGTGCCATGCAACGTTGATTGCATGGGTTTGAACAATAGTTAGTTCTTTTTGCGTTAGTACCTTGTACTCGACCGCTAACGCAGTAGAGTTCTTAAGATTGAAATTGTAAGTGGTGTTATCATTATTTTCATTACGGTTAAGCCAAATTCTCCGTAGAACAAAATGGTATAAATCTACCCATGAAAGGTTGGGGGATAAGCTGGGAGTAGTTAGGTCATTTATATTAGTGAGCCAATGTGAAGTGTTATGATGAGGAGGGATCTTATAATCTATCATATTCCAGAATTGGAGAACTGCATCACATCTAATAAAAATGTGATCGATAGATTCATTTTCTTTTTTGCAAACAGGACAAATGGATATTAATACCTATATAGTGAAGGTACGATCGACTGGGAAGTTTATTGTGAAGACATTTTCGCAGAAAAAACTTAATCTTATTGGGGCAGCGAAGATCCCATATCCAGCTAAAGTCAGTGTTATTTAGTTTATTGGAGCTAACTAGCTTATAGCAACTTTTCGAAGAAAATTTACCATCTCCCGTTAGGGCCCAAGTCGGGGTGTCTTTGATGCAATCCCTAGGGTATATGGATAGGATACTATTTCTTATGGGTTGAGGTAATTCGAATGAGATTGTCCCCATATCCCATTTGTTATTGACCCAAATATCACTAATGGTCAGGCTATTGCTCATTTTTGTGATAGGACCCTCAATGATTAGCCTAAAATTTGGAGATTGGGGAACCTAGTTTGAGTGCCAGATGTTTATAGTTGAGTGAGTGCTTGGAATCCATTTGATCCCCTTGTTACATATATCCTAACCCTTCACTATGCTTTTCCATATAAAAGAGGAGTTTTTAAAATTATTTGTCGAGCCATAAATCGAAGAGAGGATTATGACCGAGGTTTATTAGTGTTGTGAATTACTCTCCAAGTAAGATTAGTCAAACTAGATTTTTATCTTTAGCTGCATAGATACCAAGACCCCCGTTTCTCTTGTCGCTAGTAACTGCTTTCCAATTAATGAGGTGAATTTTTTTGGAGGTATTGGTCGAACCCCGTAAGAAGTTTCTTTCTTGTCAATATATTTGAGAATTTTCGTATGAAGGTAATGGTATTACATGATAAGATTGGGCATACTATTTAGAGTGGAGGTGGCCAGTGTAGTTCTACCCGTCATATTGAGAAAATTTAATTTCCAGGAGGCTAACTTCCTAGTCATGTTATCTTGGATGAATTGGCAGTCAGATGGTTTTCGTTTGGTATTAGTGATTGGGAATCCAAGGTATTTTTCAAAGCTTTTGCTAATTTCAATGTTAAAAAGTTTAGCTAAGGCTTTTGAGGTGGTGTTGAAGTAGTTTTCTGAAACAATAACTTTGGATTTTGTGTAGTTTATTTTATGCCCTGATATTGAGCAAAAATTCTTGAGGTGGGTAAGAATAGTAGTAGGATATTTTTTGTCAGTATTACACATTAAAGTAAGATCATCCGCATAGAATACATGGGACAAGCATTGATTTTTTCCCACTCTAATTGGAGTGCAAGTTCTAATATCAACATTATGAATTATTTGGATGGATAGCATTTTCATACAGAGGATAAATATGTAGGGTGACAAGGGATCCCCTTGTCTAATACCTCTATTGGGATAAAAGAATTGACTTCTACTACCATTCACTAGCATAGAGATTTTGCTAATAGTGATGCAATTCTTGATGAGTTTGGAGATCTTAGGAGGAAATTTAAAGTGGCGGAGAGTTCAGTGGATAAAATACCATTCCAAACGATAAAAAGCCTTTTCAAGATCTATTTTCAGGACCATATTAGCTTTTCATCCTAATTGTTTATGCATTTTTAACATAAATTTCTGAATGATTATAGCATTGTCACTAGCTCGTCTTCCTTTGATGAAACTAAATTGGTAAGGGCTGATAATATTAACTAGGTATGGTTTTAATCTATTAGCAATGATCTTTATAACCACTTTATAGATTGTGTTATATAACCCAATAGGCCGAAAATTCTTAAAGTTGTTAGCATTTGAAATTTTTGGTATAAAACAAAGGTAGGTATCATTGACACAGGTTGGGAGGGTGCCTGATTCAAAAGTTTGTAGGCAAAGATTTGTTACAGAAAAGTTGATTATATGCCAATATTTCTGAAAGAAAGGTTTAAAGGAGAAAATTGCATCTCTTATTTCGGAGGGGGATATAGTGTTATCAAGAGATGATAGGTCAATAGTTTTGTGGCTAGGGAGTCAGATTTAATAGAACTCCAGTTTGAGTTGTCATGGTTAGTAGTAAAAACATGTTGGAAGTAGGAGTAAGTGTGATCCATTATTTTAGGAGCATAATCAATCCAATTTCCTTTCGAGTCTTTAAAAAAAAAACCAATTTTGTTTTTCATTCTTTTATTAATGGCATTTATATGGAAGAATTTGGTATTGGAATCACTTTCATTAAGCCAGTGAACTCAAGACTAAGCTTCTAACAGTAATTTTATTTAAAATAATACCACATTAATATTTTTAAATATTTGTATATTAAATTTATATTATTAATATGTGCCTGTTATATGTGTAAATTGTTTAACATCAGCCCAAATTTTATGACAAAGAAATTATTAATTTTTTGACCATGTTTGCCCGTGTGCAGATTAACAATTTTTCTTAGATGTCACTGTAGCATTGCTTTTTATTCCCTCAACGTTGTAATCGAGTACTATCGTGATGAATGAAATCTTTTATTTCCCTTTATTTTAATTTGTGTCTTTTAAGATTTCTGCAAAATCTAATTAGTAGCAGCAGCAGTGCTACAATTTTGGTATCAGAGCTCGATCTCTAGCATCCCAAATGGTTGGCAAACAATGAAATCAGTCCAGTGATGACGGAATTTTAAGGGTGGAAGCTCAACTTCAGGAGTTTAGCGAAGAATCGGGAATGAGGATGGATAAAATTGAAGAAAAATAGGAGAAATACGATACAAAAAATAGATGAGGACACTGACACCACAAAAAGGATTGATACATCAAGCAGTAAGGATTTTTCTTCCAGCAAAATATCCAGTGTCTCCGACGTTCATGGCGATTCCCGACCATTAGAGGCCAATCTTCTGTAGCAGGTATCTTGAGAGATAATTCTTCCCTAGTCACTCCTAATGCCCCTTCTGCACTTCGTAACACTCCCATATCAGCCCTAGTCCACTCGACTAGCTTTTTAGTGCATGCAATGGTCTCTGTTGCGCCTTCAATGAACCCACCCCTAAACTCTTCCGCAACAGCTTTTAACCCTTGTCAAACACATATCCAATGTCCACCCAACCTTATCACCCTCAATTTATCAGTTCCTATCCCATGTCAACTCAACCATTTTGTTCCCAGAGTATGCCTTGTACCTCAGCCCAGAACTGCACAAACACCACTAATCCGTGTGGCACTAACCTTGTTTCCAAACCTCTCATATATCCCCTATCCTTACCTGTTTCTTCCCCTATACCGTTTGGGTTATTTCAACCCATGAATGTGGGGTGGCCTCCGTCGAGTCAAGGCGTGACAGAATCCCAAGGAGTTTCAACTTCAAAACTTTCCAAAGCTAAATTATCATTCCCAGAATTTGACGAACACAATCCAAGGAGTTGGCTGAGGCGCTGCACTAAGTTTTTTGACTTGTACCAGGTGGAAGATGAGGAGAAAATGACATATGCGGAAATCCATTTGAAGGATTATGTTGATAGTTGGTTTGATAGCTATATTATGGGCCGTGGAGGAAGGGTCTCTTGGGCCCAATTCTATTTCGACGTGTGTGAGAGATTTGGTAACACACGTCCCATTGAGATAGTGGCTGAATTTAATCGTATGAAAAGAACTGCTGATGTTGAGAGTTATAAACAAAAATTTGAGGAATTAAAATGTTTAGTGGTCTTGATTAATCCTATGTTTCAAGAGTCCTATTTTGTTTATTGTTTTGTCGGTGGACTTAAGCCCGATATTTTACCCTTAGTAAAAAATGCTAATCCTAAATCGTTGATGGAGGCATATAAATAAGCAAGATTGCATGAAAAATCATTCAATGCCCTTTACCAACAAATAACCTCCAAACTTAATTCTAATATGATGCCCAGGACTTTTTCTAATAATCCCAAGCCTTCATTACCCTCTAAACCCAAGAAACTCCAATGTTGTGAACACCAAAACCTTGCAACCAAGGAACATGACATTAGATATGTTGAGGTAAATGAACTTTTGCTTCAAGTGCTATGAAAAATACCACCCTGGGCACCAATGCAAAAGTAGAGCTATCAACAACCTGGAGGCAGAGGAGTTCGTGGATGCTAATGATAAAATTGAG